TTCGGTCGCTTTCGCGAGTCGTCGGCTGGTACCTGTGAATTGTGCTTTTGATTTAAAATATTCGGGCGCACCGCGCCCTCATCGCTGCAATGCAGCGGCATCCGGCGGGTGTTATGCCGGGTATGATGCATTCTCTGGGGGTGCATCGTTACAAAGCTTTCCCAATGTTTTTCGCCTACATGCTGTACATACCTTTTTTTTCTATAAACTTTTCTCACGAATGCTAATCTTGAACATCCCGCCCACCTCGTCATGAGGAGACGACATTGGTTGCGTTCAGCAGACTCAACAGTTTTGCAACAGTTTTATGATTGTCTGCTGAGATAGGACCATTCTTCTAGATCTAAAAGTATGATCCAATTAGCGCGAAGGAAACTTCCAACAGTTGCAAAACAAACGTTCTGCTGAACGCAGCCATTAATGCAAGCGTTCGGCGATTGAATAGACGTCGCGACTCTAATCGATAATAGGATCGATCGCGACACTTCAGATGGCGCGGACCGATAATGATTGCGCGTGGAGCGTACGGTGTCGCAAAAGTTTTGCATGCATCCGTTTTGGCGCGATTTTGAGGTTACACCAGTGATCGCATTGTTATTTTGTTCCGCAAAGTCTATATTAATGAGTGTTTGACTTGAAATGTCGTGAAGTGAGTGCTCGAAACACGGAGAGGATGGCAACGATGCACGCGGATGCCTTGCTAAGTATTAGTCCGATAAAATTTTAGGTAATTATTCAGAATACCTCCCTCACCTCCGATTTCGATGAAATTAGGCTTATTCGACGCGTTTTTGCACAAAACGAAAGAATCTGGCAGAAAAAAGTGTCGCTCTGCCTCGCGAACCGAGATATTTAGCGTTAAAGTTGACGACTCTGCAGGTTAGGAAATCTGTCATACCGACTATGTGTAGTGCTACCAGTATGCTTTCTTCATGCTCTCTGACTTCATGCGCATGCGTCTCGTTACTTGTCGGTCCAACAGGCACCAAATTTAAAATGTGTGCTATAAAACAAATAAATCCTAACCCATGTGGACAGTGGGGTGTATAGACAGTAATGCTTGGGTTCGGGCGGCTACGCCGCCCGAACG